TCCTTCATTCTCAAAAGCAGGAGACCCCTGGGGCAGTGGTTTCCAAACTTGTCTGCAGGTTGGAATCACCTGGAGAGCTTCAAAAATCCCCCCAAAGACTGTCACTTAGTAGGTCTCGAGGGGGTCGTCCGGGCTTTAAAAAAAAATCCAGATTTTAAAAAGATTTCCCAGGTGATTCTAATGCACAGACAACTCCTGGAACCACAGCCCCATTGGGTAGGACCAAGTAGAGATTTCCCTCTGCCCCAAACTAAGTAGCAACCCTTGAAAGAACAAGGATGAACTTGGCAACAATGTATTTCTTGCATTGAGCGGCACAGAGCCTGATAAAATCAAACCAGGTTGGCAATTTTATTCTTTTTGTTCCAGTCATTCAGTGATCATTACTGAACCGAATGGGCACTGGGCTACCCATGGGAATGCAGTTCTCCAGAACGCATCTTCATCACCTCCCAATAATGCCACCAAATCACCAAGACTGTTGATGGCTTAGGCCTAAAAAAAGTCCCTGGAATCAATCTGCCTTGCTCCGTGTTTCTTCTATTAACTCCTTTCTCCATCTTCCAAAGTCCGTTGCCATCAAGTCAATTCCTACTCATAGTAACCCCAGAGGACAGAGTAGAACTGCTTCACTGGGTTTCCAAGGAGTGAACTGCTGATCTTTTGGTTAGCAGCAGAGCTCTTAACCACTGCACCACCAGGGCTCCTTCACCATCTTCAAAGAAACCAAACTCAGCGCCATCAAGTCAATTCCGACTCATAATGATCCCATAGGGTGTCCAACCCTGTAAACCTTGGAAGCCGACTGCCACATCTTTCTCCTGCGGAGCTGCTTGTGGTTTCGAACTGCCAGCCTTTCAGTTAGCAGTCGATCACTTTAACCACTGCACCACCAAGCTTCTCTTAATGTAATGGGTGAAGATAAGTTAAAATTATCTGCTCCACTACCTAGTCTGGTTCTGTCTCTAACATGATTTCACGGTACGCTTTAATACATTCCTTAATATTATAACCTAAGCAATTATTTCTTTGCTACCTTATTTTTTATTTTGTTGTCGTTGAGAGTATGCACAGCAGAACATACACCAATTCAATAATTTCTACATGTACAATTCAGTAATATTGATTACATTCTTCGAGTTGTGCAACCATTCTCACCCTCCTTTTCTGAGTTGTTCCTCCCCCCATTAATATAAACTCACTGCCCTCTAAGGTTAATTATCTAATCTTTTGAGTTGTTGTTAATCACTTTGATCCCATAAAGAAAGGCTACAGGGATATTTTTGGTGTATGTTTCAAAGATTATCTCAGAACAATAGTTTCAGGGTTTCTTGCAGACCCCGTGCCTCGAGAAAGTCTGGAGTCCATTAAAACTTTAAATTCTGTTCTGCATTTTCCCCCTTTTGATCAGAACTCTTCCACAGAATCTTCGATCAAAATGTTCAGTAATGGTAGCTGTGCACCATCCAGTTCTGGTCTCATGGCAAAGGAGGCAGTTGTTCATCGAGGCAATTAGCCACATGTTCAATATCCTCCTCCTATTCCTGGTTCTCTGTCCTCTGTTGCTTCAGGAGAATAGAGGCTAATTGTCATGCCTTGGATGATTGCTTGCAAGTTTTTAAGACATCAGGCACTATGTAACAAAGTGGGAGGTAGAACAGAAGCATTAAATATGTTATTAAACCAATTAATTGGGATGTCCCATAAAAGCATGACCCTAAACTTCCAAACCAAGTAACCAAATCTCATGATATTTCTGGTTGTACATAAGCAGTCTCAGCAGCTACTTTTTGTTGTTGTTGTTAACATATCTATCACAACTTTTGCCAATTCAACTTTTTACAGGTGTACAACTTTTGACAGCAATTACAATAATTGTCCGTGCAACCTTACCCTTAATTAATGCAATTTTTCCATCAGCATTAACTCCTCCTTTCCCTCTCCCACCCTGATAACCACTTGTAAACTTTAGTCTGTGTACATTTGCCTTTTCTTGACTTTTTATGTAAGTGAGGTAATACAATATTTGTCTTTTTATGACTGACTGACTTCACACAGCATAATGTCTTCAAGCTCCATCCATATTGCAGCGTGTATCAAGACTTCGTTTCTTTTACTGGCTGAGTAGTATTCCATTGTATGTATGTATGTATAACATTTTGTTTATCCACTCGTCTGTTGATGGGCATTTAGGTTGTTTCCATCTTTTAGCTATTGTGAACAGTGCTGCAATGAACATTGGTGTACAAGTCTCCGTTTGAGTCTCTGCTTTGAAGTCTTTTGGGTATATACGTAGGAGTGGAATTTCTGGGTCATATGGTAGTTCCACTGGGCTGTGATGGTGCAGTGTTTAAGCGTTTGGCTGCTAATCAGAAGGTCGGCAGTTTGAATCAACCAACCGCTCCTTGGAAACTCTATCGGGAAATTCTACTCTGTCCTATGGGGTCGCTGTAAGTAGGAATCAACTTGATGGCAACTTTTTTTTTTTTTTAATAGTAGTTCTATATTTAGTTTTTTTGAGGAACCACTACACCATTTTCCACAATGGCTGTATCATTTTGCATTCCAATCAACAATGGATAAGGGTTCCAGTTTCCCCACATCCTTGCCAACATTTGTTATTTTCTGTTTTTTGCATCTTAGCCGTCCTATCCAAAAACCAAACCCACTGCCATTGAGTAGACCCTATAGGACAGAGAAGAACCACTCCATAGGATTTCCAAGGCTGTAATCTTTATGGAAGCAGACCACATCTTTCCCCCATGGAGCACCTGGTGGGTTCAAACCACTGACTTTTTCCATAGGTCTATGTGTCTATTGTTATACTCGTACCAGGCTGTTTTACTTACTGTAGCTGTCTATTTTATTCTCTTTTAACATTGCTTTAGCTATTCAGGGACTCTTGCCATTACACATAAAGTTGAGGATTGCCTTTTCTATTTCTGTAAAGAAGGCTATTGGAATTTTTATTGAGATTGCATTGAAACTATAGACCACTTTGAGTAGTATTGATATCTTAACAATATTAAGCCTTCCAACCCAAGAACATGGAACAGCTTTCCATGTATTTAAGTCTTCTTTTAGCAGTGTTTTATAATTTTTATTGTATAAGTCTTCACGTCCCCGGTTAGATTTTATCTCTTAGATGCCATTGTAAATGGAATCGTTTCTCTAATTTCCATTTTGTATTTCTCATTTCTGGTGTGTAGAAACCCAGCTTATTTTTGTTTGTTTACCTTGCACCCTGCAACTTTGCTAAATTCTTCTATAAGCTCTGAAAGTTTTCTTGAGGACTCTTTGGGATTCTCTATATACAGGGTCATCATCCGCGAACAGAGACAATTTTTCTACTTCTTTTCCAGTCTGGATACCTTTTATTTCTTTTACTTGTCTCATTGCTCTGGCTACGACTTCTAATACAATACTGAACAGAAGCGGTGAGAGCACGCACCCTTGTCTTGTTTCCAATTTCAAGGGGAAAGCTCTCAGTCTTTCTCCATTGAGTATAATGTTGGCTATTTGCTTTTCATGTATGCCTTGAATCATATTGAGGATTTTCCTTTCTATTCCAATCTTCTTAGGGTTTTCATCAATAAAGGGTGTTGGATTTTATCAAATGCTTTTTCTGCATCCATAGAGATGATCATGTTCTTTTCCTTTGTTCTATTGATGTGGTGTATTACGTTGAGTGATTTTCTAATGTTGAATTATCCCTGCATTCCTGGAATAAATCCCACTTAGTCATGGTGTATGACTCTTTTAATATGCTGTTGGATTCTGTTTGCTAGTATTTTGTTGAGGATTTTTGTATCTATATTCATACAAGATATTGGTCTGTAGTTTTCTTTTCTTGTGGTGTCTTTGTCTGGTTTTGGTATCAGTTTGCTACCTTGCTTGATACTCCTAAAGGCAAGGGACCATGTTTGGCTTAGTCAGTACTGTACCCTCAGCACCCAACCCAGTGCTTGTTATCTAACAGACTGTCAATTATTATGTGGGAATGAGTGAACGAATACATGAGCTCTCAAATATATGAAGCACTTCTTAACCTTCTCTACCAGTACCAGTTGCCATGGAGTTGACACCAACTCATGGTGACCTCATGTGTGTCAGAGTAGAATTGTGCTCCATAGATTTTTCAATGGCTGATCCTTAGAAGTAGATCACCATGCCTTCCTTCCAAGTGCCTCTGGGTGGACTCAAACCCACAACCTTCCCATTAGCAGCACAGCACATGAATCGCTCGCACCATCCTGAGAATCCCAGCCTTCTCTATGCCCTTGCAAACCGAAGTCTCAGTCAAGGACTTTCCTAGAAGCTCCCTGAACATCTCTAACAATTATTCCAGTTAGTTACACAGAAATCGAGTGTCTTCTCAAGAAACTTACCCTAAGGCCATATAGGCTATCATCTGAACAGGCACTTAGCACACACCAAGGCAGAGAAAGGGGTGGCAGAGAAAGTGGAGTCTTCAGAGCAGAAGTAGAAACAAGCTTACAGACTTTTCATCTATTTCCACTTTTCTTGTACAGAGGAGGAAACTGAGGTCTATAGAGGCAAAGAAACAAAGTGACTGGCTGAGGCCACATAAATTAGTCAGCAGGAATGCTCAGCATCTAAGACCCTTTTATTACTTCTCAGCTCCGTAATACACTGTAACAGAACCTGACAACATACTAAGAGATTTTGTTGATCCAGGTAAACATATTACTTGATTCCCCACCCATCACCAAAAACCCGCAGTAGAAATAACTGTCACAAATTACTGTGATAGGTGAAATTCCTAATGTGTGCTAAACTTTATAGTTGTTGTACTCTTTTATTCTTATTTATATTTTCATTCAAAAGTATCCTGTTTGATAATGCTTTATTCTTTTAAATAAGACTTCCTTCTTATAAAAGAGTAGAATGTGAACTTTTCTGCAAATATCCCTTCTTAGAGCGCTAGGCTTTGCAAACTATAGAGAGTCTGTGTATGTGTGTTTTCTTTTTTTGTCTAGATACACAACTCACAAACGAAAAGCATGCAGACGAGAAACCCATTAATGCTATCGTTATAAATTCAGTATCCGAATTCAATATCACAGATGGACCAGCCCAGGAAACCCCCAATGAGAAAAAACTGTCAGAATCCAGCACATCACTGTCCTCCCTTGAAGAATGCAAAACGAGATTTTCCTACCTCCAAACTGATACTTCAGTTCATCAGAGAGACACCGAGGGTACGTTTCTCAGAATTCAACCCATCTCTAAATAAAGCCTCCCAACCCCCACTTCCTGTAAAATCATCACATATGCTGTTAGCAAAAAAGTCTTTATGAATATTAAACAGGAAGACTTCGATGAGAACACTCCAGTGAATGACACATGTCAAGGTCACTTTGCATTTATGGGGTGCTTGGCAGATTGTTTGCTCTCAAAGCCGGGAATTGGAGGCAATGTGCTTTAAATAGCTGGGGTCGAGTGTAAGCATTCTTGCTACAGGACTATGAAATGAAAAAAGAAAAATGGCAAACTTCTTTCCCTTCTGGGATCTGGGATTATTCAGCCTGTGACTCTAGGCAAAGAGAAGGTGGCATAATGGTATTTAAGTGCTGGAAATATATAAATACAGACGTACAAACGATCAAGATGCTTACATCAGCAACCTATGAAAAAGGGTTGGTTTCCCTAGGCAATATCACTTCCTAGGCATTCTGATCAGTGCAAACCTAGACCACACCATCCCTGTACATGACATAAAAAGCACAGTCCATTTGCAAAGCCAATTTAGAATTGATCTGGTGATAAATTGTCAGCATAGTCAAGGACCCCACACCAAGACATGTGGAATTTTACTCAGGTTCATTTTGCAGGCACCTGTACAGGAGACATAAACCATTCAAGAATTTTGTAGCGTTCCATGTCTACATTTGCATTTACAGAAAGCCTGGAGTTTCTCAGAGGAAAATGTAACAGGGTATAGTTTCTTGTCTGCTCTGAAATGTATGTTTACTTTTAGAAAATAAGAAGAAATAAATACATAAACTTGGCATAACAGGAACTTTAGAAACACATTGGTTTAACTCCTAGCTCTGCAGCTTATTAACTACGTAAACCTGGACAAATCATTTACCATCTCTGAATCTCAGTCTCTCAGTTGTAAAAAAGGGGCTATTAACACATCATCGAGTGTTTTGAGGATCAAATGAAGTAACCTGTGCAAAGCATCTAGTACAGAAATTAGCATATGTTAGGTACTCACATTTAGCTTTCATTTTCATTACGGCTTTAGAAAGTAAGAGAAGATTTCTAACATGTGGTGTCTTCTGCAATTGTCATGAATGCTTTAGACCAGAAGCTACAGACTCAGTTATCTGCAGTTGCCAGGAGATAATGTGAATACTGAAGTAAGCTGGAAGTACACAATAGGGATTGGTGAGGACTGTGGCAAGCTGAAGAGGCGCACGTCTCATCTAAAGGTTGCTGCCTCCACTCAGCTCCAGCTAATTGTTGCCAGAAGGAAATGCAGGCCCAGAGTTGGCAGATCATCACATTTTTCAAGAAAAGCCAGAGACCTGGAGTGTAATGTGAACTCTCCAGATTTTCAAGTGTTGACAACTAGATCTTTTTTTCTTTTTCTGAAGCCTCAGACACTCCAAACAACACACATCTTTGGGCCAACTTTAGCCTGTACACTGTCAGGTTACAACCTCAAATCCAAGATAATGCCCCAGTTTCTGGCTTTGGTAGAGGTTGATGCCAATCAAGAAAACAGATAATACAGGAGAGTTCTCTCCAAGATCATTTTTAAAATAATGTATTTTATTTTTGTTGTTGTTGTTGAGAATATACACAGCAGAACATAGACCAGTTCAACAATTCCTACATGTACAATTCAGTGACATTGATTACCTTCTTCAGGTTGTGTAACCATGCTCATCCTCCTTTTCTGAGTTGTTCCTCCTCCATTAACACAAACTCACTGCCTCTTCAGCTTCCTATCTAATCTTTCGAGTTGCTGTTGTCAGTTTGATCCCATATAGATAGATCTTAAAAGAACACAATGCTCAGGGTAGACATTCTTTACTAATTAAGTTAAAATATTGTTTGGTTTTAAGAAGATTTCAGGGGATATTTTTGGTTTAAGATTTAAAGATTATCTCAGAGCAACAGTTTCAGCTGCGTAGTGCCTGGGTTCTTAAAAGCTTGAAAGCGGCCATCCAAGGCACAAAAATTGATCTCTATTCGTCCGGAGCAACAGAAGAAGAAGGAGAGTTGGGAACAGGAGAAGGAAAGGAAATGTGTAGCTAACTGCCTCCATGAACAACTGCCCCTTTGCCACAAGACTAGGACTGGATGGTGCCCAGCTACCATTACTGAGCACTTTGGTGAAAGATTTGATAGAAGAAACTTGATCAAAAGGGGGAAAATGCAGAACAGAATTTTGAATTTTCATGGGCTCCAGAATTCCTGGAGCCATGGAGGCTGGATGAACCCCTGAAACTATTGCCCTGAGATAATCTGCAAGAACATTTTGATGCTACAGTATTTTAATGGATTGTATCAGGGATGCATAGATCTTCCTTGCTGTGTGTATTAGGCTAATGATCCCGGAATCAGGAACCACCAGTATACATATGCACGCAGTAAACAATAGTGCCTCTCCAGAACCACTCTGATCTGTCCTATCTGGGGTCCTGGGAGTGAAAAGGACCAATCCATCTAGCATGCTACCTGAAACCTTGTATTTTCAGGGAAGGGTCAAAATGACTGCTCTATTAAAATAGCAACTGATACTCATGAGCCTCATGCAGAAAAATGACAGATTTTTTACTCTTTATCCAAAAAGAGCAAAGGCTATTCGTGAGGATTATTGAGTTAGGTTGTTTTTCTTATGGCCTGGGCTAAAGCCAGTATCGCCCAGGAAATACAGGTTTTAAGTTGATGATATCCTTCCTTTTTCCTAGTGTGAAAATTCTCCCAATAGAGGTAAGAGCTTTTGGGACTGGATGAAAGACAAAGTAAGAAGTCCCGAGTAAGACCCATAAATAGTGATAGGAAACGCTCAGTATCCTAAACATCAAACATCAACAAAATCAAGAGTTACATCAGGCTTATTTCATTTTTGAGAATTTTTGATAATTAAGAATGCAGAAACTGAGAGCTGGGGTCATTGTTCATACTGAGATAAATACAGAAATATCTTTCAAGAACAGCAGGGAAAACAGAAGGGAAAAGAGAAGATTGCATCTACTTTTATGTAGTTTGTGCTTAATTTATTTTCAAATGTATAAATGAGTGCAAAGGAGTGGATGCTTAATTGCTAATATCTATTATTTATATACATTGCCCCACTTAAAACAGGACGGAAAAGCCTCACACATGCAGATTTTGTAAAATGTGTGACATCCATTAGCACAGTTCATGGTGTGTGCTCTGATGGGAATTTAAAAGCATCTTTACTACAGATCACAGACTATGTGCTGCAACATTATTATGAAATGGTGGTTCATCGTGTGTGGTCCTTTTCCCGAATAAAATGGAAAAAGTCCAAAGAACTCCCTGCGTCCCTGCTTCGGTTTCTACCCTCTTCTGATTGCAAAAACATCCCTGTGGATAATAAAATCAGGGACACACAAGAGAGTAGAAAACAGGCTCCTTAAAGAAAACAATTCCTGAGAATACACCTAATTGATGTATAATTTTGAATTTGAGACGTCTCATCCAGGTGGAAGAGGAAAATCATAAATAAAAGATCCCGCAAAAGAATAGTCTTAATTACACCATGGACTACTGAATAAAATGATTACATTTTCTACACCGTAAATTTCATACAATTAAATGCAGTAGTGTCACCTTATAAAATGTTTCAATTTTGTAATTATTTCAGTTCATTTGCTCAGAAAAAAACATAAGCACAAATTTACTAAGTATCACCCAAATCCAGTCATTCTAGCTCTAAAGAACTGACTAGAATGTTAGTTGTGCTTGTCTGAGCTTAAATAGATCTTGACATATTTAAGTATCTATTAAAATTGATAACATCAGGGATGATACCCCAGCTACGAAAGGCAATCAGTCATACTTTATTTATTCCCATTCTACATTACAGGCTTTATTATTTTTTTAAAAAAGAACTTAAATGTTGGAGGAGTGAGAACAAGTTTTTATACTTTTTGGTCAAAAACTTTGGGTAATCCGTTGGAGCTAATGTGTCATGAAGCTCATTATTATGCTGGATTCTCTGGAACAGCACATTAATTTATCAGAATGCAAGAGAGGATTGGGCCAGTTTGGGGCTTTTTTCCCTTCGCTCTGCGGAGAAGGGGTGGTGTTTACCTGAGGTCACTTCTGGAAGAGTCATATTCTTGCTATTTTGGATAATGGTCCCCAAGGTAGCATGAGGTGTTTTCCTGGAGTTGAGCAATGGTACAGGAACTACAGATGGCAGCTAAAGCTGCCTCTTGTCCCCCCCTCCTAATTTCGAGCATCACAGTGACAAGATGTAAAGGTGAAACAGCAAACCCAGGAAGCACAGGACCGTGGGGCTGACCACAGGTACATTTGTGGAACCTCCTGGCACTGCTGCCTTTTCCACTATAATTAAACATGATCCTTTCTAACAAGGCAGGTCCTCTTATTAATTAGCCAATCCCCAGATGAACATTTAGCACCTCTGGAAGCTGCACAAATCCTTCAGTGTCGCCAGGGTGCCATTTAGCACATTATAGCCTCCATGTCCCAAAGATACCCTGCAAGGATGCTTGTCATGGCTTTGTGCTCACAGCCAAATACCACCTGTGGCTCTGTGGTCCGCAGGTCTCTGGTCCACCACAATTCTTTACTCCATGTTTTAGAAGGTAAGAGGTGGGAAAGCCAGATGGGTCTCAGACAGCAATACTTAGAGTCTATGCCAGGTTGCCAGGTGGTCTCACAGAGGGGTTTTAATGGACAGGAAACTTGTTACAGAGGTATTGGATGAGCTGAAAAGTCATATAGGGGAACAGTGAGGCAACCTAGAAATTAGTAACCACAGGAAGGTTCTACCACCCCTTTCCTTTGTCCCTCCTCTACCACAAGTAGGAGCAACCCAGTACTAGCTGGAGCCACAGAGAGAAAAGAGTTTCAGAGAGCAACGAGATCAGAGAAAATACACGACTGCCTGAGATACCATCCAAAGTAGAGCACACACACCACACTAGTTGCCTTCAAGTTGACTCTAACTCATGACAACCCCATG